CACCCCGGGGAGACGGCTTCGAAGTTCTTCCATCCCTCTTCCCTGCCACCAACCACACGAGAAGACTTTCGACTCGCAGTATATTTAGAGTGCCGCCATGCCGCCCTGACACTATACATTTACAAATATCCATGCCTTCTCCGGGATTTGAATCCGGTCCCTTTGGCACGGTAGTCAGCGACGCTAAGCACTGTACCGGTTGGTTGGCGTGGCTTTTCTTAGGTATAACGAGAATGCGAGCTGTTTTCCTTAGAAAATTCTCCTTATAAGCATCCGTCATCATAAGTAGATAAATTTCTATAATGTGCTTTGCCTTAATCAAATAATCCAATCCAATCTATTTAAATCTGTAGAAGAAGATGTATTATTTTGGTTGTTCTTGTTGTCTTACATGGAAAAATGGTTACCAGTGCCTACTTCAAAGAGAGGATTATTTTCCGGTAACACCTAAAATACTGTCCGGCCAAAACAGACAACCTTATGCCTCAGAAACTAAAAGAGGGAAACGGAAATAATTTAGAAGCTGACCCCTCCTTTTTTTTTTTTTTTTTTTTTGTCAAATATTACTACTGACTGAAGTAAAAGAAATTTATCTTCCTCTCACAGGGGGTCTTCCCAACAAAAATAATTTTGAATCAGTTTTTTCTTTCAAGAAAAAGGCAAAAGATACGGGGGGGAGGGGAATGTGTTAAATTTATATTTGCTTTTGTTCTACACAGTTTAATGCATATTGCGATATTAATATATTATTACTATAGATGAACTTTATGTAAAACTACTAAATTAATGCAAGTGGGACAAATCTGAGAAGAAAGTGTCAAAACTCATTTCGCTCTTTTTATTTATGCAGTTGTCGACTTAAATATAGACATTCTAGTATTTAATTTGCGATTTGCATACATAGATATATCATTTACTTAAAGTACTTGATCATAATTAACATACTCGCGAAAGGTAATTATTGGGAGTATTTATCATTATTTAGAAGGTTCTGCTAAATTATTTAGCTGTTAAGAAATAGTAAAATCTGTTGCTGATGAATGTTTTACCTTTTTACTTCGTTAAAAGGAGTTACTTTTCAAAGGAGTTGACGTTGGTTTCCGCTGTTGGAAATATTCTTTCTGCAGCTGATGACAAACGAGAGAAGCACAATATTCTATTTTTGTTGCGTTAGGAATATTTGTTCTCCTACAGAACCTGAAGACTCTGCGGGTTCCTTATTTTTTTCAGCGCTTCGGCAATTTTCAATAGATGCCATTACCAACAAAGATCTTCATAAGCTCTTCCCCACCTCCTCCAATAAGATCTGAAAAATTCAAAGCAAGTGCACTATAAAAATCAGTCACATCTGCACTTTTCAGAATTCCGCATCACTAAACATTTTAGTAGAAGATCTTTGAAATTATTCCTTCAAAATCTTAATTAAAATTCAAAACAGAAAGACAAGTATACTTTAAAATCTTAGCTGGAACTTTATTCTTTAAATTTCAACTAAAGCGTTTCAAAAGATCTACACTTCCACTTGGACGTAATAAATCATCATTTCGCCTCATATTTTCAGAAAATTGAAAAAACTGCATATTGTCGGCTTAAAACCAGGGGCGTAGCTAGAGAGGGGCAAGGGTGGCATCTGTCCGCGGGCGCAGAATCCAAGCCGCGCCAAACTGATGTTACGACATTTTAGAATTAAATGTTTTCCATCCTTGGCAAGCAGTAGAGGGCGCGAAATCTTCAGTTGTCTCTGGGCACTGAAAACCCTAGCTACGACTCTGCTTAAAACTGCATATTGTCGGCTGGATTTAATTCTTCGATTGGTATTGTTTGTAATACGTTAATATTTCATAAAGCATTTTAAGATAATTTTTCATTTTATTTCATATTGCTGAAATTAGAAGACTAGGGGGACATTTGATTTATTACTTTTGGTAGATAAGTAAATATTAGGATACGAAAATGTGCCTTAAATAGAGAGTATTTTTATTATTTACAACTGATCTGGTTCATTAAACACCATCTTCTACTGCACTTAAAGTAGGGTATTTTTCTAACTCTCTCGTGTTGTATTATTGTTACTCGGAAGAAAGAAAGTTCTTAATCCAATGGCAGACATCACAGAATTCTAAAATTTTGTAAAAAATACTAGATCTGAATGAAAATATTATCGATGGTAACCATGTGACGCTACCTCGCATAAAGCATGTTATCGTTATGTTGCATTTCGGCTAAACATAAGATCTTTAACTTACCTTTCAAATTTAATCAGTCTGCTATTGTATTTAATGTTCCTACTGCATTTATTGTAATTAATAAAACATATTTTTAATGGTGTAAGTAGTAAAGCAACTAATACAAAATCATTTAGTTGTAAAAATATTTATGATGTTTTACACAACTTTTTTTAATAATTTAAATAAATTTTATGGTAAATTACTTGTTTCAGATATGCACTGTAATCTGAAGCTTTTAGATTACAATTTTATTTATTAATTTTTCTTTTATGTGTAAAGGTAATGATTTATATCAGTTCTGAATCTTACTCCTAGACACTAAATAAATCAAATTGAACACAGAATAAATTAAATCGGTTTCGAACGGAGTCCGAGACCACCGGAGCCCCATTGCAGCATTTTTCAGTTTTTAAGTCAAGCTGGAGCCTCAAATAAAGTAAGCTCTGGTATTCTAATTTATTTATGAACCTGTTTCTCATTATTAATTTAGAAATGTGCCAGCAGCTGAGTATGATGGTTCGGTAAAACCATCGAAACTAGTCATGTGAAAATTTGCAAATATAACGCTGATTTTTATCGTTTGAAGTCTAAATTAATATTTGTTCGGCGTGTTATTTGAACCTAAATGTTTGTCATTAGTTTAACTTAATTCCTTTTTTAAAAATCTTCTTACACTTAATTTTAGCCATTCATTATTTATTACCCTATTTATTTATTTTTATTCACCTTACGAGACGACCTCCGGTAGGGCTCCGACGTTTCCAGTTTTAGAAATGAAACCCTTTTCGCACCTATCCTCTGGTTCTGCTTTCACAATGGAGTAAATTAATATATTAGGTGACAGCTTAATTGCTAAAATTAGAAGTGCCGGAGCTCTGTGGAAAACTGTGAGGAAAGAAAGGGGGAAAAAAAAGCTAAAATCTAAAATAATTAAATAATAAATTTAAATTAAGATTAATTTTTAATTTATTTAATCGCTTAAATAATTAATTAAATTAAATTAATTAAGTAAATAATAAATTTAAATTTAAAAAAATATAAAGAAATAAAGAGAAATCTAATGAATTATTAAATTAATTTTAAATAGTTAAGCAGAAAAAAAAAAGTGTCGGACCTTGTCTTATTTGGAGCATTGGTTGGAATTACAATTCCACTTAGATGCTAAGAAGCAGCTCAACCAAACTCCTTCTAAGTCCTGATTATACGTATAATGTACTATTCCAAGGGATGGCAGGTACTGCTCTTTTTTGCAGCACAAGGAGAATAGTGAGAATTCTAGAAAAAGTATGAGAATATGCAAAGAAATTTAACGGAAAAGTGTAGCTTTGAAAATAAAGAGGTGAGAGTTCAAGACTTTCTGATTGCTATGCCCTGTCGATATAATTCTAGCCGTAAGAAAAAATTTTCCCTAAAGACTTTTCCTGAATACAACGTGAGAATAAACATAAGACTTCTTTGTAAAGTGACATCAGTGGTCCCCCCCCCGTTTGGCTGCATCATTCAGAAAGTCTACAGAAGCTCTGCAGTAGGAAGTCGCTAGCGTGGAACGTGCACAACTAGGGTATCACTTTTAGTTCTTTGAGAAATACAAAATTTACCCGCTTTCGTAAATCCATTGCATATCCCGTAGAATAAGCCTTTGACATATGATTGGGGGGGGGGATTTTCTTTCTTTTAAAGTCTCAACCTCTATGCAAGGCTTTAGATTGGAAATATAGAAAATGAAGGCCTGAATTCAGATTTTAGAATTGATTTTTAAGGCATGTTTACTATTAAAACCAAATTTATCTGTTAAAATTGTGGTTCACTCACATAAAAGAAGTGCCGGAGCGCTTTTATTTAGAGCTCCGGTGCGCTCCGCCTGAAATTATAATTTATCTCGAACACTGATAAGTACCGGAGCTGGACTCCGGTGCAATTTAAGCTTTGTAGTAAGTGAACGTGCAATTCTTCTCAGTGCTGTTATAAATAGAAGCCATTGATAATTCGAACAGACTTCTGTGAATTCTTTAATTCTTTTAGTTTACTTTAGTGCTTATAATCCACATTTTGAAATACTAGAAATCATGCCTGATATCAAAATGGAATTCTGTGTTCTGAATAGGGACTAGATGGAAATGCCATATTATTTTTTGAGAAAATTTTTCTTTATGCAATAAACATTTTATAACTTAAAATTTTCTATCGTGAAAGGATCCAGTCAATAATTTTTACACTAAAAATCGCCGAAGTCAGCTAACGAAATTTCAATATTTACAGCGAACTGTTAGATTACAGCCATACATATCTATGGAATTATTAAATGTATCTTGCGGCATAAATAATTCATAAACTTAAAATACTTCGGGATTTCCAATCTCATTTTCGCAAATCACTACTGAAAAGAGGAGAAATCTGAACGAAGCATAAATCGTAATTCTGCTAAGAGCAAGTCATTAAGCTCTCGCTCGTGGCTCTTCACCGTGCTCAAGCAGAAGGAAATTAATTCTTTAAGCTTCGCAGTTGTGACGCCATCTATTGTAGAGATTCAGAACTATTAAAAAGCAAATGAATTTCTCTTATAAAAATAGGAATATAAGATATATTATAACTATAGTTTATCATACATTACTAACATTTTGCTTTAAATTTTAGGTATTTTGTGAAAAATTGATAATAAGTAGACGATTTAAAGACCTTGCCTGTAAAAGAATATGTTGTTATTTGGAATCATCATCGGTTGACGTAAATCACGTGATTTGAGAGGCGTTTCTAAATATGTAAACTTGGCTCAGTTATCGGCTAATGTGCGCATGGAGTGTTTACCTGGGATTGTGGTCCTATCATTTTTGCGCCAAATTGCTACATTTAGATTAGTTAAATGATAAAACGATTAAAAACAATCATAAAACCTTTTCCGAAAGCTTTCTACTACATAAATTAGCGATAAGTTTCTGCAGTTGCTTTTTTTTAAATTACTGTTTGTGTTTCGGCATCTTATCAACAGCTGATTTTTCATTTTGAAATCTTATTTTTCACTTAAACAAATATAGTTTTCGGAACGTTTGGTCCGAATATTTGCATCACGATCTGCGAGTTGCCGAGCAATGTTCGACTGTTTCAGATAATTTTGCAATTATATTCAGGTGAGTTTATTCAGGTGTCACAGCTTTAACTATTAATGTTACTTGTAATTTTAGTTAAGAGAGTGACATACAATAATTGTATGAAGATGCTAAAATATTTTAAATGACTTTTAATGCTTTAAGATAATATTGCCTAAATCACATTAAGTAGTAAAATTTACTATGTTAATTGGATGACACTGTGATTACTGTATAAGTATTTGATCAAATTGCAGAGTTAAAATTATGCATGCTGACAAGAGAGTTCAGTCAGTTTTTTGATTATGTAACAACCTAAATCAGATGTATGTATTCATAGTATTTAGATTACAGCTTGCTTTAATTTAATAATTTTTTTAATTATTTATTTTGCTTACTATCCTTTTTATAGGCAAAAAAGAGAAAGGGGGGGGGACTTGTATTTAGTTTTCTTCGATTTTTATCTTTTTTAAATTAGAAATAGTTATATCTAAAATTTAAAATCATGTAGGTGATTAATATAGAATGCTTTATAAACAAACTAAAGAAAATTAGTAATAATAATAATCCAAAAAATATTTAGAATGACCAATTAGAAAACTGTTCTTTTACATTTAAAATGTAATATTTTCTTGGTTTCGAAATTAATAATACATATATATAAAACAACTCTTCTGCAGGAAGTAAAGTTCTTTATTTATCACATTGTGTCTATAATACTTTTCTGATTAGCATTTATTTCCATTACCTCTTTTAACTGTAATAAATATTTATATACATGTAAAGTATTTGAAAAATTAATGAGTTATTTCTGATATAGTTGGAAGTATCACTTTTAAGATTTCAAATCTGTAGTTTTAAAAATTGTTTATTAGTTTACATATTTTCTGAAAAGAAAATACATTTAAGATTCTTAAGATGACTTTAAGATTAGATTTTAAAGAATTCCTATTTGATTGGTCACACTGATGGAGACATGCTGTACAGTTTTGGTAAATTTAATGCTTTAAATCTATCAATATATATTTTTTGTACAGAAATTGTAATAGTAATAATGATTCTACTGGAAATCTTAAGAATCAGAATTATGTGCAAATTATATATTTTAATGTAATGTACAAAACTGTAGCTGGGGTTTTCAGTGCCTGGAGACAACTGAAGATTTTACGTCCCTCGTCTCTTTGCCAAGAATGGAAAACATTTCATTCTTAAATTTCTTAACATCAGTTTGGCCCCTCTGAATACTGTGCCTGACTGTAGATTTTCTCCTCTGACCCTCAGCTATGCCACTGGTAATATGTTAATAATGATATAAATAATAAAATATATTTGATGTTTGAATATCAGCAGTTTAGTAGCTGAAGCAATTGAACAGCTTGGCTTTATTCTCGATTCTGTCCAGTTTGTTTGTTTTCTCTTCTCTATGTTTAATAATTTGTTTATTTGTTTTTCACAATTTCCCATTTTGCATCATTTAAGAAAATATATATATAGTCTTTCTCAAAATACATAATCCTTTTGAAACTATTAAAATTAGATAATAAATAAAATTTAATTAATGTTGATTCAAATATTAATAGTTGGCAAAATTCTTATACAATCAAAGTTCGCTGTACTTGAGCTTTCTGCAAAGATATTTTTCTCCCAATAGCTACTCAAACTAAATTTATTATGCTTCTTATTGATGGATATATTAATTTATAAAAGTTGCATTTTGTGCAGAATTATTGTTCAGAAGTATTCAATATCATTGAATTTAATTGGAAGAGAAAGACATTAGAGTAAAATTTAAAATTAGGCAAAAATGGGACTTGTATCTGATTGTCCTTGAGATTGATAGTTTTATTCAAAAATCTATGTTCATCTAAAGTTCCATTTTTTGCCTAATTTAAATCAATGAATTTCTTGTATTGTAATTAAAGTGATGCATTAAATAATTCATTTTCAATATGGTAGCCTTTTCCAGTTTTTGAAAGTTTTGTTTACTTTTAAATTTCTTGCCCTAAAAGGCTATTAGTCTCGAAATACGATTTTGCATTATTTCACTTGCCAATGAAGTCTGTTGTCATTTGACAAAATGTAAGCTATTCATCTTTCAAATTTTATCTGTCTGCTATTTAATAAGAAGATAAGCTATTTAAAAGCAATAGATGCAATTCTTAAGAACATTATTTTTTTACATTTGAATCTGATTAAATTAAAGGTACTGTTCTGTTATCAAGGCCAGATTCAGAAATGTATTTATGTTTGACATGTGTATGTATATATGTGCTTATATGTACATATATGTGTGAGTATATATATGCACACATACGTCCGCACATATAAAATGAGAAAGGAAAATAATAGAAGTTATAAACTTACCAAATTATGTGATTCAAATCTTATTTATTGCAACAACTTAAACTATTATGACACTTTGAATTGCACAAGAGGCCCTTGCTTTTACAACTGCATTTATTTGTGGAACACTTCCTTTTGGAATGGCAGCGTGCACATATACTCCTCTCTTTTCGTCCTACACCAGAGCATATCTGTGATTGTCGACATACACCGGTGAGGGTCCGAATGTACAAGAATATAAAGAAATATTCGATCTTTCACCGACGTATTTGGTGAATGTTGACATTCTCCGGTGAAAGTCGACATTCTCCAATTTCGGTCTTTCATGGTAACATATATATGCATGCATATATGATTACAAATGTCCATACATACATGCATATATACATACTTTTCTGAGTCTGGTCCTGATAATAGAAGAGTACCAATATTTCAAAAAAGCATTTAGTATAATTAATTAATCAGCTAACTTTATTTAACTTTTCTTTTTGTACATCTGAAGTGTAAATATTTTCTCTAGTGTTTCAAAATTAATAATATATAGAAATTTAAACAATTTTGCAAAAAAATATATATATAATATATATATATATATATATATTTAATTTTCACCCTGTGTGTAAAAATTATGATTTTTTCTGACTTGTTTTTACACTTTTTTTATCAAAAAATACTCATATATATGTGGAAAACTTAAGTATTGTATAGCTATAAAATATCTGAAAAGTTTAATTTTTGAATTTATTTCTGATATAGTTAGAAATATGATTTGTAATATTCAAAAATAATAGTTTTAGAAATTATTTTCAACTTTATATTTTTCTAAAAAGAAATAAATATTCTTAAATTTCTGTAAGATTATTTTAAGATCTTGGTCACAGTCAAAGCATTAAGCTTTATAATTTTGGTTACATTAATACTTCACAAAGTATTAAATCTGTCAAAACAGATTTATTCTACAGAAACTGTAATCTCAAACAAAATAAATAAATAAATAAAAAAGAAACAAAGGGAAAAAAATTACTGTTGTAAGAAATTCATTAAAACTGTTCTTAAGTTTTTTGAGAGGCAGGATGCTTATGCTTGAAAAATATGATTTAATTTGGGAGTAAAATTAATTCTGTTAGAAATCTTAATGCAGATAAAATTTTATATATATTGATATTTTAATATCAACGGTTTCAGAATTGGATCAATGAGCAAAGAAAACATTTTTTACTGATTTCTCTCTTTGCATCATAAATATCATCACACTTATTTAAAAAAATATTTATTCTTTTTCAAAATATATAATCCTTACAAGATTATTGATTTTTGATAGATACATTTTGATCAATGTTGACTCCAATATTAATAATTGCATGATGATTTAAATATTAATAATTGGCAAAATTAAATATTTATTTTGCATTGATTTGAACCAAAAATAGTCTGTGCATTTTGAATACCTTTTTAATAGGGAAGTTACTGTATACTAATGGAGCAGAAGGAGATGTTTTATAATTGGGAAGAATTTACTTCAGGTGTATATGAAATTAAAAGCAAGTTTTATAGTGGTTTTAATATGTAATTTACTCTAATTTAAAACATTTTGAAGTGCTTCAAATTGCTTAGTTTTAGAATAACGAATTTACTGAAAATAATATTTTTATGTATTTTAGTTTTTGATGTTTTTGTTTCTTGTAGTTTTAAGACTTCCTGCATGCTGAAGACACATCAACTAGTGGTAGCTTCAGGATGTTTCATCCTATCAGACATGGTTATTTTGAATTTATTTTAGTTGCCTGGTACAAGCACATTCTCAGAGTAAAAAATGGGACTCTGTAATGGAAAAAAATTGATGCTTTTGTTACAGATATTTGATTAGCTGATTTTTTTCTTCCCTGCTGGTATGAACAGAGGTGCATTGAAGGAACCCTGTAACATCATGCTAGAGCAGAAAGCAGATTTCTGACTTGCACTGGATTAAAAGTGCAGTTTGGGATTTAAGGTGCATACTTAGTAAATGATCATTCTGGTTTTACCTTAGTGAAATGGCATTTCAAATGTTGGGTTACATCTTAGTAAATGCATTAATATACTTCACTCTGTTTCTTTCACTTCAACTATTCATAGCGTATCAGAACAATCTTGTTGTTTGAATGAACTGGAAGTGTTTGTCTCCACTGTTGCTTTTCAAACATTTTACTATTGGTAGCAGCAAATATATATCTATCTGTTTAAAGAATGAGTCAAAAATGCTTTTAATGGAGGTTTAAAGTTATGATACACAAGCTATTAAAGAATAGAACGTATAAACACACTCCAAACATTAGTAAAGAAGTTATAATCACTTAAAAACAGGGAATGTTTCATCATGCACCTCAAATATGGTTAGATATTGAAACCAGTAATTCCATAGTCCCATGCAGTTAAATAAACATTTTGAGATAAGAATAGATAAACTATGGTATAATTCCTTTGTATGAATGCATTAATGTGTATTCCATTGTGATCTTCATTTGAGTTAGGTATTTTCTTAATCTTGGCCTCATTATTCATGGTGACTTATGCAATAGTTTTATCATTGATTTTATGCAAAATCTGTTATTTCAAATTTAGCAAGTCTGTAGTTTATAATATAAAAAGCCATTATATTTTTTTACCTCTTTCTGTAATTTCTTCTGTGACCCATACTAACATAAAATGCAAAGTTGAAA